TATAAATGCTTCCAGGTAAGGCTTGGACAGCTTCTAGACTCTACCCTCAACGCGACTGCCTATTCTGTTCAACCTACCTCATTCATTCTAGTCCAAAACCAAATAGGCTTCCGAGATCACATCTTGGCTTCCAACTGGCTGCTTATGGAATCACCCTTCAGTGGCTCTCCACCCAATTCTAATTCCAATCCTTGCACTGCAGTTCCCCCACTCCTTCTCCAATGTGTTCTGCTGTCTATGGCTGCCAAATACTCACACACACACCACCAATAAGCTTTCTACAAGCCACATTCAAGGCATGAGACGTACCAGCTGACTACAGCTGACTACAGCAATGTCCTCCTGAGCATGAGGAGGAGAGGTGCCATTACTGCTTCCTGGGATCACTTCTGTGGGAGGGGACAATGATGCTCTAATGACTACAATATGAGTGTGGTGCCAGACAGAACCGGGTTTTCTATTTCCGTGGAGACCCTGTTCTTTACAGGACAAGGCTGGTCTGTAGGTGCTATGAAAGGGGTTCAGAACAACATCACAGTCCTCCCTCCATCTCTGGGGAAGGAAAGGGGGCTCATTTCATTATCAGCCATCCTCCTGCAAAGATGGGGGCCTTCAGGGATGGCAATCTATGAGACTACTCTTCGGGACCACCTCTCCTAGCATGATCCTCCCCATCTTCTCCGATGTCCATCTTGGAATTTATTGAAGGTCCCTGGTCCATGAACTGTCCACCTTGTGTCAACAAGGGTGAAGGACTTCTTCGTAGCGGCCCCCATCCTGTGGAACCAACTGCCAGAAGAGGTGAGTGCCTTGTGGGACCTCCCTAGGTTCCTCAGGGCAAGCAAGGCTGCTCTTTTTCCGCCAGTCTTTAGGTGATTGTGATCCGTCAAGCAGCTGGTGAATTATGTCTCAGCTGTGCCTTCATTATCTGTGCATCCTACCCTGCTTTGACGGTGGATAGATTTTAACTGGGATAGATTTTCATTTTATATTTTTTAAGTTTATGTATTATAACTTTTGTACTGTTTTATCAGACACATCTTATATGTTGTTAGCAGCCTGGAGTCCCATTCACAGGAGAGGGAACAAATTTGATAAAATGTTCTAGCTCTACTGTCTAAGGATAAAGAATGTAATACAAAATGTGATCCAGTCCCTGAGGTAGTCAAAACTTTGAAGACGTCCTTTAAGTCCATCTATCCAGAAACTGAAATGAGTGTTCAGATAAAGATGACCGTGAACTGAGGAAGATTTGCAAGGATCGGGGAACCCAAATTCTTGTTTAAATTGCTTGCACGCATGCCCTCAAAACGGCTTTCCTCACTTCTGCAGAACTAGTAATTTAATTCATCCCCCTCTAGTAGCACTTGTGACAGCCCAACAGCATTTGGTTACTGCTCCTTAGGAAGTTATCCTCAAAAGAGGATTAATCTTTGAAAACCTATTGGGAATCCCAAACCGATCGTACTCTTCTTAGTAATGAGAGAAACCTATACTTTCAAAGCTGTTTAGCTAAAGAAGGAAAACTTCAAGGGATGACAGGGAAATTCAGATACAGAAGCCACTTTAAAAACTAAGGTAATTGCTTTTTGTAAAAGTCAGATTTGAAGGCCCTAATAATCTGTTTCAAGTGTGTTAGAAAAATATTTTGAGCAGAGTCAATGCATAACTTATAAACTTCTGAACAAAAGTTGCAGTACTTCTAAAGCGGCATATTCGCAGACCAGTATAGATACCAGACTGTCTCCTCCTGATGCACCCCATGTGATCTCCAAAGAGACAGTTCTGGGGGCAAGTGAACTTTTACACCCCAAAACCCATATGGGCTGGGTGGCTGCACTAAGAAGGACAATCAGGTGAAAATCCCTCTACCTCTTGTCAGTGGACATTCTGCACTGATATCAGGGCCGGTTCCAGGTTTTGGGGGGCCCTGGGCAGAGACTGCCCACAACTATGCCCCCCTTTTCTCCTGCCCGCCCACCCACCCATGTGCCCCCACCTGCCTGCATGTCCTTCCTCTGCCTACTTGCAAGCTCTCCCAGCACCTGCAGTCACAGCTGCCCACACCGCCTGCATGGGATCTCCCCGATGGTGCTGGGTGCAACTGGGAATGCCACTGCCATGACTGCCAGGGATGCTGATGCTTTGTGCACCGCCCACATGTCCTTCTCCAGCAGCGCTAGACAGCATATTCACCTGAGAGCACAGGTGACAATTAAGTGCTCAGAAGCAGATGGTGGAAGGGTGTAAGTGCAGGCATCAGGAGATGTGTGAGTAGGGAGTCAGCAGCAGTGGGCCCCAGCAGAATCCATGGGCCCTGGAAGCTGCCCCACCTTAGGGTACTTGCAATAATGGGTTTTAAATTATGGGTGGGAAGGTACCAGCTGGATATTAGGAAAACCTTTTTGACAGTAAGAGTTGTGCGACAGTGGAATCAGCTGCCTAGGGAGGTGGTGGGCTCCCCCTCACTGGCACTCTTTAAGCTGAACAAACACTTGTCAGGGGTGCCCGAGGCTCATCCCACATTGGGCAGGGGGGTGGACTACTAGATGGCCTGTATGGCCCCTTCCAACTCTGTGATCCTATGATTCTATGGTATGCTGATGCTGGCCCTATATCTGCCACCGTATCTTTATCATGTGTTCCGGATTAAATCTGTAACAGCATATGGAGCAAGACAAAGATGCTTAGTTCTAAAGTGATTAGTCCCATGATATCTCATTTTTGTAAGCTTTCACATAAAGCTTTATCATAATTCAGAGAAGTGACTGTTCAAGACCTCCACTGAAATCCACTGAAAAGAAATTAATCAATTTATACTACTTTGCGGGAGGGCCAAAAAAAACAGAAAGCACGGTCAGGAACTGCCTCAGTGGCAACGCCAAGGTGTTTCCTGGATTTTTTTTAGCACATTGTTTTCAAATTGCTCTACAAAGTAAGGTACTGTGTTCCCTGTTTTTCATGTAATGGCAAATATCCAAATGTCAGCAACTCTCAACCAAGAACAAAAGCTTCAGAATAGCAAGCCGTTCCACGATACCCTCTCTCCAAAGTTCACTTATTCCTGAAAACGCAGACAACATTCTGCCAAAATTTCGCATTCCCATTTGCCTATCAGTTGTCCCCCCCTCCCCCAAAGTGTTGTCCTGGTGGCAATTCTGAGAAATTTCATTGCCACCAAATTGTCTTTCAGGTGCAAAGAGACGCATAATCAAGTAGCATTCTGAATTAATGGAATCCTAAGACACCAACCTACCTACCACATTATATCGCTTGTTAACAATATACCAGTATTTTAGCAGGGCAGTCAACAGATCCCTGATGCTGGGAAAGATTGAAGGTCAAAGAAGACGGGGACGGCAAAGGATGAGATGGTTAGACAGTGTCATGGATGCAACGTACATGAAATTGAGCCAACTTCAGAGGACGGCGGAAAACAGGAGGGCCTGGCGAGATCTGGTCCATGGGGTCGCGAAGAGTCGGACTCGACTGTGCGACTGAACAACAACAGCAAAGACACCAACCTACCTACCACATTATATTGCTTGTTAACAATATACCCCTATTTTATCAGGGCAGTCAGATATCAGCAACAGTCCACTTACCTTGAGAATAAAGAAGGATCTGCATTTCTAGGAGAACACAAGTAAAAACCTGGATAAGGTTCTCCAAGCCCAGGAGTTCGAAAGCCTCCCGGAGAGGGTAGTCGAACAATGGGAGTTCATTTGGCCCAGGTCTCTGGCAAACTATAGGCTCGTAGACCCCGTAGAATTTTAGTGACCGTCCAGGGGGTGGAAGGGGCACTTCATAAAGAATGTTATGGATGTAGCTCTCCAGGGGTAAAGGTGGGGGCTGCTGAGAAGTGACCGCCTTGTAAAGCTGGATGAGGAATTTCTTGCAGGCTTGCATGAAAGGCAGGGGGGCAATGAGGCAAATAGACTTGGAGACATACAGGGTGTCCCTGTTGATGTCATACGAGTTGTAGCGCTGCATCTTCGCTAGCGACGTGGAGTCGCCTTCATCGAGGCTGCTCGCCAGTGAGTCCATGCTACATGACGAGGAGGCACAGACGCTGCTGCATTGCTCTGCGTTGTGCATCTGATAGAGCGTCTGCATGGCTGTGCAAATTTGCTTGCTTGTGACTTCCTCAAAGAAGGTGAGCACAAATCCGTAAGTACGAGAACCATCTTCCCTGGTGATAATGAACGAGTGGAACTGGGGATCTCTGTTATCTGTTTGAGTCCTGAAGGACAGCCCTTTGGGCATACATAACTGCAGGAGGAGGAAGGAGAAAAACACGTACGTCAGTAGCCAGTAACTTCGATGAGTCCGATTTGCTAGAGCACACTTCCCCAACCCACCAGCACCCTTCCCGACATCTGCCAAGTGTTTTTCGAAAGTGGGCAGGGCCATATAGGGCTCCTGCTCAGCAGGGCTTCTGACTGGCTATACAGATTAAAATAATGTTGCTTTGGTAGCAGCTGCCACCACAGGGTTAGTTTTATTCTTTCTAACTTTCTCCCAATGTATTTTTTAGAAAACTACTGTTCTTGTCCTGTGCACTTGGACTTCATGTGTGTGTGTGGCTCTACCGCCTGTGGTGACCATTTTGTGGTCGGCTCCATCTCTGGTGGCAGCAGTTTCGTGGCTGCACCCACCACCCTGGGTCAAAATTCCAAAGGTGTCTACGGGCTCAAAAAGCTTGGGGGACCAGTGTTCCCTCTGAGTTAGTGTGAGCTAGCTCACAGTTTTTTAGCCTTCAGCTCACACATTCTTGTCTTAGCTCAGGAAGGACGGCTCCAGAGCAAACTAATTTATGCAGTAGCCGAATTGCTCGCTCATAACTTTAATGCTCAGTAGCTCACAAAGTAGAATTTTTGCTCACAAGACTCCACAGCATAGAGGGGGCATTGTTGGGGACCCCTGTGTTAGAGTCTCTCTTGTACAAACCCCCACGAAATGTGCCAGAGCGTACAGCACTGGCACTGTTCTCATTCGTCTCATCAAGGTTTGCACAGGAAATTAGCCGAAAGGTTGTGCTTGCAGTGATGACAATCAACGAGAGAAGAGGAAAGGGACCGGAGCAGCCATCTCCTTGAATCGCTTGATTAGAAATCTGCACTCTTAAAAGCGAGACTTCCCAACCTCAAGCTCTGAAGGGCACTGAATTTTTACAAAGCCAACAGAATGACTAAGCAAATAGCCATCGCGCTATAATCACGTAATTGTTCGTACATTTATTTAAAGCTTCACACATTCGGCTGCGAGGATCTCAAGGAAGCTAACACAAAAACCTCATTTCCTTAGCAACTATTATGGACTACACACAATTAAAAAGGAAGGAGAATTCACCAGTAAAGAACTGCTCTTTGGCAAGAGAAAGCTCAGTCAAGACAAAAATGTGTGAGCCGGAGGCTAAAAAACTGTGAGCTAGCTCACACTAACTCAGCTTAGAGGGAACACTGCTCTTAGCCAGTATGCCTCATCTGCTCTCTAAAGCACAAGGCAGCTCAGATGGCAGTTCGAACCAAGCCAACAAAGTGCCTCCATCCTTGAAGTGAGGGAGTGGCCAATAAACTACTCTGTTTCAGTGTTCTAAAAATGACTTCGGATTACTCAGAGAGCTGGAAAAATCCTAAGCATTTAGTAGTCTAGGCTGCCAGGAAGATATAACACAATTCTGACATGTGCAGTATCTAAAAAAACCTGACACAGGCTCCTGAGAATTTGAACTTTACTACCCAGGCAGTTTATCTAACCGTCCTGCTAACAAGTTATGAGCATCAAAGAGCTCAGATGAAAATACCTTGTGCAGAACCAATGGTTTATCAGTCGGAAGCCCTGGAGTGAAAGGGTCTGACCACCTTTGCTGCCCTCTAAAGGATACCTGTGGACTGTAAAACCCTTTTACTGGAACTTGGAGGTAGTCAAGCAGAACTAAGCAAGGAATCAATTGCACACAGTTGCATGCACAGTTTCGCTCGGGGATGTCAAGCAAATCTGCACTTGGAAGAGAGAAACTGGCTTACAGGAGAGACAGCTGAACCGACAGCAGATCCTGTGGTATTGCTGCTTTAAACAATTACCAGTTCAGATTGCAGAATAATGCTACCCAAGAGGGGGATCCCCCCTCTCTTCACACTGGTCAGGACTCAGAGCTAGTTCAGCATCACGAAACACCTTGGGAATACATCCATTCTTGACCTTTTCCTCTGAACAGCAGACCGGTCCCCAACCAGCCAACATACCATTTCTACAAGCCTGCT